ATTATTATTATTGTTATACTTTATTCTCAAATGATTAATGTTAACAACATCAGCATTGGTGACTATGAGTTATAGTGTGTATTAGCATGTAGATTTAAATTTCTGTTCTACAGTCTAAACTCTTAATTGTCATACTCTTCGAATTTCATATAAAAAAATTATTTTAACCCAAAAAGCAAATTATGCTCCCTTCAAACTGGTTTTCTTTAAAATACAAAAAAAATATTACTTTGTAATCCCAGACTATCTGTAATCAGAAGCACATTTATAACTGGAATATCATTTAATTTCATTCACATGTGTTTCATAAACACATAATCCTTTATGGATTACAATCCGCCATCAAAATGGTACATTTAATTATTCCAGCTGCTGTGAGAAAAGGCTATAAACGATCGGCCGCCTGCAGGATCCTCACATGCGATAGCCTAGTAGCCGGGACAACTTCTTTATGTTTACAGACGTGACGCAATGACGCAGTGGCATGCTCAAATTTCCCGCGAAAACCTACCCGTACCACTCAAATTAGAAAACATTATTATAAGATAACCGTTGTGAATCGGGCTAAAGTAAGGCGATAGTTTTGAACACTGGCTGGTAATGTACTTGCTCAAATATAGATTTCGGGTCATTTTTAACCAAAGAAAAAAGTTACGGACTGCAGCTTTAACTATAATAACCCTGTACTGAAAAAAAGGGGAAAAACACTGGAGGATGTGATGCATTTAGAATCATTTTGTAATCAAACTGTTACCCTCTGAACTGTAATCGAATCAAATTGAGAGGCCAGTGAAAATGTGCACCTCTATTGCACAGAAGAATAGTTAAATTTCTCTGTATTCAAAAACAGTTTTGGAAATGGGTTCAATCATGAGATTCGATTTGCAGTATATTAATACTTAAACTATTTTGTCAAAGTATAATAGGAATGACAGTAAATTAAATGTACTAAGACAATAATATTTGTATGTGACAGGGCTTCTTCGTTCAAGAAGACGTTCTGACAATGTTTTACACTCTGCAACCTTTGACAGTAACATAACACCCATTTGTACAAAAACACTCTTATTAACAAAATTTTGTTGTACTAAAATATTTTCCAGGACAAATAATTATGTTGGAAAAGTGCTTTGCAAAACCCCCTTAACATTTTAAATATTTACAAAAAAAACTAAACAGATTTTTGCCTGAAAAATATAAAAATTTGGGCTGTTATTATTATTTTGGTAGCATAGAAAATACAGAAAGTCAACACGAGTTTAGTTTAAAAAAACTTTTAAGAGGTTCCTTCTATCGGTGTTTGCCATAAACATTGCCCTATTATAGTATGATTTAAAGCAATAAAACCATACTTAATGGATAACTTAAACAAATACAAATCAAAATCATTTCATGTGAGAAGCTGCATACAATATAATGCGAAGGTTTCCACTAGCCAGCCTTTTTATACGATTGTGTGTATAAGCTAAGGTTTGTTGTTACTGAAAAAAGCTTGGCAACCTCAAGTACATTCCCCAGGAGTGGTTAAAACATAATCTGAGAGTACTAGTTTAAGCATAGTTTTGATTGTCACATACTTATTAAAAGAGTGAGCTCTGGGACATTCACCCTCTATTCATCCACAGTTAAGTCTGGGCTATAGTTTAGAAGGTCAGAGGTCACTAGAAGGTCCCGGGATCGTCCTCTCAAGTTCAGAACCTCTTCCAGTAACCTCAGAGTCAAGTCCCTGCCCTCAGACTCCTCTAACAGAGGCCAATCCAACAGCTGAGCACTGGAGGGGAGAGCCGGCAGACCAGGCTCATATTCCTCTAGTGGATTGGGATAGAGCAGCAGACGAAGAGAAGGGATTCCTGCCGCTGTACGGGCCAGGCAAAGCAGTCCCGTTCTAGAGAGCGGGTTTAAGGCCAATCTTAATCTACGTAAAGCCTGACAGCTGGACAGGGAGGGAAGAAGAGCACTCAGGAGACTGTCTGAGAGGCCACAACCACAAAGTGAAAGCTGGCACAGAGAGTTTTCGGCTTGAGCTAAGAGACGGCGCAGAGAGGGCAGGGACGATTCATCAAGCCAGTTCTCACTCAGGTCAAGTTCTCTCAGGAATGGAGCATGCTGGCTGCAGGAGAGGTAGGCCAGGTCTGTGGAGGTCAGGCACAGGTATGGCAGCTTCAGCACCTCCAGAGGCTGGGAAAGAGAGCTGCAAACAGAAAAAAACGAAGATTTAAACATGTGCCAAGTTCACAGAAATTTAGCTTTCACAGGGTTTTGAAAAACTTTCATCCATTGTCAAGCAAGCTGTCAAATTAATGACTCTAAAATATCAAACAAACATACACCAAAAATATATAAAATATTGCAATCTATTCATTGAATGTATGAACTGCATTTTTTGAATAAAAAAAGTTTTCAAAGTTATTGACCTCCTACTAAATTAATGAAGTGTATGTGTGTGTGTGTTGTAGGAAAGTCTATTGATCATCAAGATTGAGTCTTTGCACCAAAGGCATTACAATCTTTCCCAAAATGGCCTGGTACTTCAAGGAATCCCTGATGTCCTTCATAAAGTGAAGATTTCCACTTCCTATAACATGAAGATGGTGTTCTTCTGCTCATAAGCGTTGCCTTTTTGGCACCAGACATACTGCTGATCCAAAAGTTCCAGTTTGGTCACATCACTCCATAAAACACTCTTCCAGAACTCCTCGGGTCTATCCAAATGAATTTTAGCACATTCAAGTCAGTGTTTTATGTTCTTCTTGGTCAAGAGTGGCATTAGGCAAGCTCTCCAAACATGAAGGCCATGCTTGTCTAGTGTTCTTATACTCTGCATTGAAATGCTTTTTTCCCCTCCTTTCATCAGGCCATCTTGCAAGTCTTTGGCAGTATATTAGTGACTTAAAACGTTGGATAGGGGTTGAATAATTATGACAAAGCTGTATCCCATAACTCAAACACATCAAAAAAAAAAATTTTTTAATTAGCCACTAAACTGTTATAAATGCTATATTTATCCATGCTGTTCTGCATCTTTAAATGTCAGAGATATGTCACATGCTGTGATGATGAATTTCATTTCTATGAATAACATGGCACTGTACTGGGCATGTCTCTTTTATGGCACACTTTGTCATGAAATTGAAAAGGGACATGTAGAGAGAACACATCCGTACCTTTTGTCCGTCAGTCCCCTGACCACAGCCAGCAGCAGAGCCTGAACGCAGAGGCGGTTCGGAGGGCACTCGCCCGCTTTTCTGCTGCCTCCAACGGTCAGTGTTCTCTCGGGCCACCGCTGGACGAGCTCACCGACAGCTAGAGGACGGCAGTGGGTGAAGGCGGCGTCCAGCAACGCTCGGTAGAGCTCCCTCGGCACACAACTTAACCAATACGGCGAAGAGCTGTGGTCGCTCACCACCTCCCGGGCGCACAGGTTCACCAAAGACAGGACCATCTGTGCACAAATGAGGACGGCATCAGGGATTAATACTGCAAATCAAAAGGCAGATTACAGCATGTTGATTAATTAACAAGTAAAGAAAAGAATCGTCAAACCTTTATTTCTCCAGAATGCCCCGGAAATCACCTCGATGTTTTCAAAGCAGGCACAAAATGATCTCCCCCTAATCACACCGTAATCCTGCATACTAACTACATCTTATATTCAATGAGACTCGTTTAACAGGCGTCTTAAATGTCTACCACACCTAAATATAGGATTTAATAAATGCTCAACCTTTAGCGGGTTGTAGACGATTAATGCCTGCTTTATGGCTTGAGAACAATACGCGGGACGTGAGGAATGGACTTGTAAAATATAACTCTGTGCGATCAGTATGAATCTTAAAAAAAAAAAAAA